AACCATCATCTTCCACTCGAAGAGCCTTAGTTTCCCCATCTGGACACTGGGGATGCTGCACACAGGCTAGGATGTGGGTACAAAAGCAGTAGGAAGCGCTCAGTGCCCATCTCCTTGGCTTCTCCTAGACCAGGCCAGCCTTGGACTCGTGTCTCATGGAGCCCCGTGCTGGCTTTCTGGGGAGAGACTGGAGCAGGCACGTGGCAGGAAAGCCAGTACCCATGATCAATGCCTACCACTCCTTGAAAGGTTTGGGATCGGGGATAAAATGTCACCCACTAAGGTAAGGTTTGACAGGACACCCGTGTCAAGATAGGTTACCACCTGCCCTGCGCTGGGGCCCAGAGACTGACCCAGGTGAGAGCTAACCTGGGGGCCTACTGCAGGACAAATCACAGAAACAACTCATGGCTGGAACACAGAAGAGTTCTAGATCTAGCCCTGTCAGTGACTTGCCGGGTCTCTGTGTTCTCATCTGTAAGATGGGAGCTACGAGGAAAGAGATGCCAAGAATAAAGCACCACTCGAGAGTAAGGGACCGTATGCAAGGGCCACCTTCTCCATGGTCCCTCCTCTGGGTGCTGACAGCACCTGGCTCTCTGCTGCTTCTAATTACTAATTACTAAGGTCACCTGCTTTCTTCCCTCCCACCTGACTCAGATGGTCCGTGAGGTGTGGTCTTCTCTCTGAGTCCACGCCTGCCCCGTCAACTTAATTTGACAGAGGGAGGGTCAGGCCACCTCAGCCAACAGCCTCCCAAATGACGGTCTTCCTTGCCTGAGTCACAGCTCAGCTTTCCAAGGGTGGCCAAGGGAGCTGGGGCATCCACCCAAGCTCTTGACTGTTCCTTCCAGGCCCCGGAGCTGCCCCTGACAACCCAACCCACACAGCCCATAAAGGCTGCTGGGAACCAGCCTCAGCTCCTGAAGCCCACTCTCAGCCCCAGCCAGGCAAATGCCATCCTTGGGCAGAAATATGGCTTTGTTTTACACATCCACACTGATCAGGCAGCCCCTGGGCTCATTTACACCCATCAAGGGCACAGGTGACACATCTGAACCCTCAGAAAACTATCAAGACTGGGGCCTTTTAAAGCAAGATGCTACAGATGCTCCTTTATGGGTTCTAACAGCCAGTCTGTACAGAAGGGCTAACGCCCTGGGAGAGCCGTCTGTTAAGCTGTCTCATGACACCCTTGCTGCTGTTCTCAAATCTCCAGTGGGTGGACCTTAGCAGCAAAGGGGAGGGGGTGTTCAGGGCTGCAGAAGATAATGCTTCGACCTAGGGGAGGGCACCTGAGTTAACAGCTCTAGGAAGAGCTTCCTAAAAGTTGGAACAGCTCTAGCAAGAGCTTTCTAAGAGCTTCTAACAAGGGAGCCGTCTGCCTCAGTGGAGCATCCCTGGTCCTAGGGATGTTTGGAAGAACACCGGCAGGTGTTCTGTGCCAAAAACATTCTCTGGTCAAATAGATATGGGAAATGTTGCCTGAAGAAAGGTTAATAGGTTTTGTACTGCAGGCCTTCTCAGAGCCTTGACTGTAGTAGCAGGCATTGTGTGTCTCCAAGGGAAACACAGTATACTGTGCTCTCCAATCGTGCTTGACTCCAAAGTCTTTCCCTCAACATCGACAAAGTAGGGGTCTTTAGACAGTAGGGTCATACCTTCCAGCTACCTGTGACCCTGGAGGAAGAGGGAAGGAAAACAACTGCCCTCAGAATCCAACCCGAATGCAACAAGACAGTCGCATCCCCTTGGTGGGAAAGGGGTTACAGGAACTACCTAGGAGGGGCTCTTAGCACCGCTCCAAGGGGCCCAAGAGGTAATACTTAACAAGGACATAATTCAAGTTTTCCAGAGGTGGAATCCTACAGCCTCTACACCATTGTGATTTAAATTCCAAACAAAACTTGGCAGGGAAGATCCCATGTGGCCCAACCCCCACTACTTCTAAGAACTGCCTTCCTTGGGGACCTGGAGAAAGAGGAGGGCCTCGGCCAAGGGCCACAGGAATCCTTCTCCAAAGGCATATAGTTGTTGCCATAGATCAGGTTTTTGAAACTGGGGTTCACAGGGCCTAGTTTCTAGACCCAGACTGCACAAGATGTGCCTGCTTTGGCCCAGCACCCCCACCATGAGCTGGGGAGCCCCAAGAACCCAAGCCACCTCCTGGTGCTTGCTCCTGCACTTGCATGTGAACTCTGCCATCTCCCTCTCTGCTCCCAGGGCCAGTGTGCCACTCAGAACCCTTGGCTTATCTTCAGCTTCCAGAGCCGAGGTTCCAGGGGCACAATGGGCTTCTGTGCCCCCATGTCCTCACCACCCCCCCACCCAATCCCAGCTGCATTCATGGTGTTTTGCTATTGTGGTGGGAGCAGCCTGGGGGTGGTGCAGGAGGGGGTGGGCTCTTGGCACAGGGGCTGGCACAGACAGGCTGTGGTCAGCGGTCAGCATGCAAGTCACATCCGCAGGCACTGCCACCGGGCCTGCCAGGCTTTGCACAGAATGGCGACGTTCCTGGGCCCCCTGGGTCCCTTCGTAGAGTCCCCTCCGGCCCACACACGACTTGCTTCCTCTCTGACCAGCCCCTTGGTGGCATTGAGGTGGGGGGTATTTTTTCTTGCCTTCTTAGCCAGTTGCTATTTTGGAGCCATATTAGGTCACCAGCTAAGCCCTGGATGCAGGAAAGGCCTGTCCCCAGGAGCACAGCTGGGGCTCTGAGAGTGTTTAGGAGGCAAAGTGGGTGGAGGGTGAGGTCGAGTGAGCCTGAAGCCAGGAGAGCCTTCCGGAAGTCAGCAGGCACAGCCCTCCAGCCCCTCCGAGGAGGCTACTGGCCTGTGAGCGTAAGAGAAGCCCCTGCTCTCTCCTCCCCAAACCCAGCCTGTCTGCGGGCACATCCTCCCTTATTCGAACAGGTCTTAAATCCCAGACATACCATCCTGGGGGACAGCAGAGACTAAATTTAACAGATGGGTAAACTGAGGTCCAAGAGAGACAAGGCGTTCCCTTAAGTCAGGCCATGAGAGACTTTTCCCATCATTGCACTATACGGCATAACTTTTTACTGCTCCTTCCACACTGTGCCCCTTCACGGGGAAACTGAGGTATGCAGCAAGAATAGACAGGAGGCTGGGATCCTGGATGCCAGAAATTTTCAAGAAGAAGCATAACATTGTACTCTCTCGGGGGACACATGATGGCCAAGAACTCCCAGGCCCTCCCAGTGCAGATCCAGAGGCAGGGAACAAGGCTGTCATGGGTTGGGAGCAGGGGGAGGCTAGCAGAAGCGAATTAGGGACCCCCACTTGACCTATGGGTCATGGTCACCCTCCTGCCCTGGAGGAGAAGCTCACCTGGGGCTCCCACAGCCCCCCCTCAAATCGCCCACCATTCACACTGTGCTCATCTGTCTGCTCATCTGTGGCCCCCATTAGCCTGCGCTGTGAATCCCCAGGGGCCGACCCAGAGCTCAACAAGTGTTTGGTAAGAGAACAAACCATTGAAGAAACACCCCACAAACAGTCCTCCAAAGTCAGTGGTCACCTGAAGCCAGTTCCCTGAAGAGGCAGAAAATTCTCTTACAAGAAAGAAAGATCCCCAGCCAAGAGCAATTCCTCATGTGGAGAGAACGCCTTACAGTTTACCAGGAGTTTCAGCATACAAGTGCTTTCGCCTGGCACCAAAGGGTGCCCTTCCAGACCCATCTCCCTCCACTGTGCCCAGCCCCCTGCACAGGTCAACAGGTCAGCCCAGGTGGTGCTGGCCTTAGGGCAGCATTTTATATGCCGGTGTTTCTCCCAGTAAATAACTAAATAACAGCAGAGCTGAACACGTTCATGAGGCCTCCCTCTCTTATCCCCACACCTGGGCCTGCCCCCAACCCATTCAGGACTCTCACTCTCCTAAAGCTAACCTGTGTCCCCAGGTCTAGAAGGAAAGTGACGCCCATGTGGGTCTTGGCCCCACCTCCTGCACCTTTGCAGAGAAAGCCCCCACAAGGGGAGGAAATGAAGGCCACAGATGGGCGTCTGCGATTCCCAAAAGAGGCAGGAGTGAGTGGGGGCAGGGGAGGAGGGGGTGTCCCAGTGAGCTAGCCTATCGCCAGAGAGGAGTGGTATCTGGGCAGGCTCTGGGGGGGACTCCTCAAAAGTGTCTGGGAGGGGTTGGCGATCTGTATTTATGTAGCTGGCAAAGAGGCACTGCCCAGTCGACTTTGTAACTGAATCCACCGAACAGGCAGACTTTGCAACACGGCCGGCCCAGGTTTCTGCAGAAGGCGCTGGGCAGCTGGAACCTCTCCCGCTATCTAGTCCCCCTCCCACGAGCTCAAGAGGATTTCCCTTTCATTTCCTTCCAGGCTGGGAGGGCAGGGGACAGCGCAGTCTGCCAGTCTGCGGGGTCAAGCCCTCAAAAACCACTTCCTATGTGACTGGGGGAGGGCGAGCAGCTGGAGGATGTATCTGGGGGTCCCCGTGTGAGAATAGCAGGAAAAGCCCTCTCGGCACTCTCTGCTCTTCGGGGTGCCCCTCGGGTCGGGAACCACAGAAGTCGGAGGAGAAAAGGTCTTAGGCCTTCCAGAGGAGCTCCAGGCAGAATCTGCACTCTCGGTCTCAGCCAGCGGCGGCCAGGAGGTTGATAGGATTGGGCGTGGGAAGGACACTTGGAAGGGGCTCCCCGCCCTGGCCGCACCCCAGCTGTCTGTAGAGAATCCGGACACAACCCCCCCCAACTCCCTCTCCCAGCCCCCTTCGAGAAGGGCTCCCCCGGCTGGGAGAGGGGGCGGGGGGCCCCGCCCGGGCCTGAGCTGCTCTGGGCCGGGCTCAGCCGGGAGGTGACGCGTTCCCGGCGCCCGGGGGACTTCGTGCGGCGAGTTTGGCAGAGCTGAACGAAGCCAAGCCAAGCCGGGCCGGGCAATGCGGAGCCGGGCCGGGCCAGGCCAGGAAGAGCGGGGCAGATAGGAAACGGCCCGGCGCGGCGGGGCGGACGCGCGCGGGGGCACCCACCTCTCCGCGCTGCAGCTGGAAGAAGCTGTTAAGATAGCTGGAGTGCAGGGGCGAGCCCAGCTGCTCCGGGCGGCCCTTGCCAAAGGCCAGCTCCGGGGGCGCGGCGGCGGCGGTCGGCTCCGGCCGGAAGGCATCGAAGGCGCTAGCCTGGTGAGTGTCCTGCAGCGACAGGTAGACCCAGTTGAGCAGCTGGGCCGGCTGGTACACCGAGGCGGCGCTAGTGTCGATGGCCGACAGCAGGCTCATTTTGCCGCGGCGGTGCCGGCCCCTCCCCGGCCGCCCGCTCGCGACCCCCTCCAGCGGAGGGGCGGGCACCGGGGAGCCTGCGCCCACCGCCCGCCGGCCGAGCCCCGACTGCGATCGCCCCGAGCCCTGCGTCCTGCGCGCTGCCCGCAGCCGCTGCAGCCGCCGCCGCCGCCTCCCCCCGACTGCAGCCCGGCGCGCGCGGGCGGAGGAAGGAGGCAGCGAAAGTTGGGCAGGAAACTTTTGTCCCCGCCCCCTCCGCGCCACCGCCCCGCCCCGCGATCCGCTATCTGCCTCAGCGCTGACCCCTCAGGCTGCCGCCCGGGGGTGGAGTCCACTGAGGCCCCGCCCACTCCCCGCCCCCGACACCATGCTCGCCCTCCATTGGCTGTGTCATTGAATATGGAAAATAAGGGGCGGGGAGAGGGGGAAATAAGGCTTATCTACATATGGAGCACTCTGCGGGCCCGCCCACCGCAGCCACCGTCCCCGCCCCCGCGCCGGGTCAACTGCGCTCCCCGAGCCTGCGGGGAGCTCGGTGTCTCCCCGGCCTAATCAATCTCGGCTTGCTCCGTTGTCGGCTCTTCTGCCTCGTTCTTTCCAAATCCTCTCCAGTTATTTCTTTTTCACTCGCTTTTCCTTTCCTATTTTCCTTCCTTTCTTATTATGTCTTAGACTGAAATCTCCCGCGTCCCTCGGCTCCCCGTTGGTCTGGGGCCCTTTCTCTGCGACTGTTTCTCTCTGCGTGTGCCTTTCTCCTTCTCTTTCTCTCGGTTTCCTCTATTTTCGTTTCGTCTGATGTTTCTCTGTCTCCCCTACCCCGGCCGCTCCCAGACGCGCACCCTCACACTCACACACACACACTCACACACTCTCACACTCTCACACACACGCACTTCTAACTCCCTCCCTCGCTATCACCGTAGGACCCTCCCCCTCCTACTTAATGCCTTCCATCTGCAGAATCGCTTTGCTGGCCGGCTGCGCCAAGGGGGCCCGGGTTCCTGCCCCAGGAAAGGCTCCCCGCCCCCTTCTCCCCGTTTCCTCCTCCCCTCTCCCTTCTCTCATTTCTGCCCTGGGCCCGCCCTATTTCTCGCCCCTCTCCTCCGTCCCAGCTTCGGCCCCGGCCAGCCCCATTCTTGGAGAGTCGCCAGGACCCCCGCCTGGGCCAGAGGATTTCGGAAAAGCGGCTGTCACCCACCTCCCAGGGACAACCCAGCTAATTCAGGTCTGCCTGGGGGGAGCCCAGCTCCCGCCTCCGCCTCCGCCTGATGTCCCCAGCACCCGCCCGCCCGAAGCTGCCAGCCTTCACCCTCTCCCCCAGTCTCGGGGTAGTCTGCGCTGCAGCAGAGACCGGGACCTAGCAGTCACCTCTTTACCTCCATTCTGGCTCTGGAGCCTTTCCGCCCCGCGTTCGTGTGCCAGCTGGGCCACCTTCCAGCTGAGTGACCTTTGCGTGGCAACTAACCTCTGCAAGCAAGCCTGTTTTTTCTTCTGTAAAATGGGAATCGTCATCGCCCTACTTCCAGGGATGTTTGTGTGCTTACCAGCCTGGGCTTGCTGAGCAGAAGATATTCCACAAAGGACAGCTTTCCAGCATACCCTTCCAGGAGGATTTCTCCCATTACCTGTTCTAGGCAGGGCACCCAAGCACACCTGTGGATCTTGGACCAGAAAGGCCTTCAGTGATCAACAAGTGCTGCCCTTCCCACCAACCAAGAGCCCCTTTGATCTCCATGTTTGCAAAGATTTTGTCTATCAAACAATTTGCAATGATTAATACAAATGATAATACATATACCAATCATATCTTAATATTTTTATTCATCCAAGACACATCCAAACAGTACTGTTTATATTTTTAAACAGTGTTAAGCCTATTTGTTTAAAGAGAGGGTGCACATTTGATGGAAATAAATTTGACAACCATTTTACTCTTAGAAATATTCACTGGTCATCTCTAGAACTCTGCTACTGTCTTTGAGCTTCCAGGAGTAAGGGGCAGGATCTGGAACCACTGATCTAGACCTTCCCTCGTTTTAGAGAGAAAACTGCAGTTCAGAGAGGGGGTATCTTCCAATTGTACAAGCAGGTGGTCGGGGAACCCACAGGAGACTCTGAGGCACCCAACTCCAGCCCAGAGCTCTCTGTCTCTGCCTTCCACTTTTAAAACAAGAATCGGGTAGTGATGGGACCTGTGGAGAACTAAAATGCTAGCCAAACAAAACACCTCTGTCATGTTCTCAGCCTGAGACTGAGTCTGGCACCTGCTTAGAGATACACCTTCTCTGGCCCTTCCCTGTCCTACAGAGTGATTTGATGATGTGAGTGTGCTTGTCATACCTAGTGACCACACTGATGGTCCCTGCCCTTTCTTCCCTCCGTCACCCCCACCCCCATAGTTTCTGCACAGAGCCTGGTGCATAGATAATAGATGACAGGGAAATATGTGCTAGGTTGATGATTGGATGGATGAATGGAAAGATGGATGGATGGATGGTTGGAGATGGCCAAATTGTGCTTCTCTTTGAAGCCTGAATGGCTTGCTTGGTTTCGTACTTTTCTCTCTTCCCTTGCCCCTTCAACATGTGAATTCTGTACCCAGTAGGTGATCAATAAATATAATTTGAGCAACTTATAGGCAGCTTGCTTGGATAGCCATGGATTGACCTAATGTTAGCTCCTTAGCCGGCTGCTGGGGACGTATGCTTCAGGGTTCCCTGAGACAACATGTCCTGGGGGTAGTGTATGTGAGTGACCAGGTGGGTATCAGAGGCCTAGGTACCAGGCCAGAAGACTGGGACAGGCCCAATATCTGTGCCTCCCTACCCTATCATATACATGCTGAGAAGCCTTTCATTTATTTATTTATTTATTTAGAGACAGGATCTTGCTCTGGCTCAGGCTGGTCTCCAACTCCTGAGCTCAAACGATACACCCGCCTCGGCCTCCCAGAATGCTAGGATTACAGGTGTGAGCCACCATGCCTAGCCAAGAAGGCTTGCATTTAAAATGTCAAAAGTTCTAGCCCAAGGCGTCACTTTACAAAGGAGGAGGGACCATGGCCCAGAGAAGGAAAGGGACTTGCCCAGGGTCACCCAGTGAGCCTGTTAGCTAAGCCAGCTGCTTCTAACCCACTGCCAAATCCTAGCTCTCCCTTTGTTGGCCCCACTCTAGAAGATTTCTGGTGTGGCAGCTCTGGCCCCATATACTGTCCTCAGACCCGAAGGTAGGCAAGAACTCCCAGGGAAGGCTCAAGTCCCCGCCCCCTTCCCTATCTGCTGACGCCATCCATGGTCTCCAGAATGGGAGGATGGAGAGAAGACAGGATTTGGAGGAGAGAAGACAGGATTTGGAGGAAAGAAGCCTGGCTTAGTGACCGTGGGCAGGTCTCCGCCCTTCTGTAAACCTCAGTTTGCCAGTTATCAATGGGAATGTAGATCCCGTCCCTACCAACTGCTACAGAGACTAACAGGGTCAAGTGAGGATGAGAACAGGAAAGTCCTTTCCTAGCTGTGGGTAAGCAGCCATATGGGGGGTGGTGGTATTGATAATTTCAATAACAGTAATATTCATTTTATCTGCAGAGATTGGGGGAGGAGGGAGCAGGTAGGGAAATGTCTGCTTCTAACATTGCCCAGGCAACAGGTCTGATAGGTGTTTGATGGAGTTTCAAACCAAGAGTTTGAAGCTCAGAGAAGCAGGAGAAACTTCAGAAAGACAAGGAAAGGCTGGGTCTTTATAGGGGAGTCAGCCTTTGATGTGGGTAGGAATGGCAAGCAGAGATGAACAGGGGTAGAAGATGGGGCTTCCCAATCCTGGCAAGCCGATGCTTCTTGTTTCTCTAAAAATAAAAAATGCCCTATGATGATTTATCATGCAAAGGAACCACTGAACCTCTCGAACTCATCCCACATTCCATGTGTCAGGAATGAACAGAAAAGTATGCGCTGGCAGAGCTAAGATTTGCCTCTCCTCGGGGCCAGGGCATTGAGTTCCTTTAGACTATGTGTCGACACAGAAGGTGTCAGTTTACAGCAGAGATGGCAAAATGGCAAATACTCTCCTTGCATACACCACTGCCCCACCCCCGCCCGGGACAGACATCAGTGAGTGCAGAACTCCTTCCCAGACAAGACTTCAGTTTCCTCCTCCACGCGGTGCCCATGTTGCCACACACAAGAAGCTGGAGTTGACTCAGAAGATGCAAATTATTTGCCACCCCAGCCTCATATCCACCTTCCCAAGGCACTCTCTAACCCTGGAGTGGGGGACCTTTTCATGTTGGAAGGCCAAATTAATTTAGCTGTAATCAAATAAGGCCACATTCAAGAAACTTCAATTAGATATACTTAAAAGTGTACATTATTTTGTAAAAATCTAGCTACTATGTACTTAATAATTTCAAAAAATGAAAACTGTTAATTTTAAAGTTAACTAACCTTTTAATGACTTTGTTGTGTCTGCTTTTTTGTTGGAAAGGATTTTTTGTTGTTGTTGTTGCTTCATTTCTTTAATGAATTCTGTTGGAAAGGATTTGAATGTTTGGTTGCAGCATGGAAGTCCGCAGTTTCAGTTGATCCTCTAGATGGGTATTAGTCATTTGTGACCTTAAGGGCGTCTTGATTTGAGTTAGGTAGGAGAATGTAGATTCACAGCAATAAGTGGTTGAAAAGCAAGAAAGCATTTTGGGGGCATGTTGCCAAAGGTGTGGGTGTTCTACTGCATTTTTCCATATTTCGGTTGGATCTTTCTTAGCATCAATGACTTTAAAATGCCTTCTACTGAGAGCTCAATCAATTCCATCTGTTCTATAGGTGCTTTGGTGGTATCAACTACATGAGGCTGAAATGCTAATTTGGCTGTGAGGTCATGATTCTCAAAGCCAGTGAAACTTTCATTGTATTTTCCAATTAATAGGTCTATAACAACTGTGTATTCTTCAGATGATTTGCATATATCATCCTGCTCATCAATGACATTTGCTAACTGGGGAAAATGTTCATCTGACATTTCCTTTCGAAGAAGTGTTTTGAAAAAAGATATCATTTT